CTGCCTGTGAGGTGCCGCCGGGCCTGTCCGGCCAGGCAGGGGCAGCCGCCGCCCCCCGCCCCGCGACGTCCGCCTGCCCCGCACCCCCCGTGAAGGGGCGAATGGCGCAGGCCGAGCCGTCTGCCCTAGCCCGGCCCCGCGTCCCCACCTGCCGGGGACGCACCCCGCGCCGCTGGCTTCCGGAAAGACGGCTGAACGTTTTGGTTTTTTTTCAGGATTTATTTCTGCATCAAGAACCGGGGTACAGGCCAGAGGGGCCGGGGGTGAGAGGACTCCCCAGGGACAGAGCGGGGTGCAGCACAGGCAGAGTACCGCACCTGTGGCCTCTAATAGCACAGCTGGGAGGTTTTTGCCTTTGGCCAAGGTGTTTATTTGATTTTGTTTCCTTATTTGGTATATTTTTTTAGCATTTTCGGTTTATGGAAAATCGAGCAGGTGGTAGATTCTTCGTGCCCGCCCGGGCCCACCCGTCTGGCGTCTGGTGCGTTTCAGGCGGAGCTGTGGGCTGGAGGCTGCGGCCAGGGCGTCCTCCTGGCGGGCCCGGCCTGGGGCCAGCCGGCGCCCCGGCTTCTGGTAGGGTCGTGTCTTTCGCAGATCACCGCCGCCGGAGTCCCCGAGTGCGGCCCTTCCTCAGCGTCTCCGCTAGCAGCGCCCGCCCGGGCCTCCTGTGGCAGCGTGGCGGCTGCCGGCCAAGCCCGCCTGTTTGTCTGCTCGCCTTTGGCCGGACGTCCGGCCGCTCCCGCGTCTCGGCTCTCGTGACTGAGGGCTTGTGGGTTCCCTTGGGGCCTGAGGATTTCCTACCCTGGAGTGGAGTCACGTTTATCCACCTGGAAGCGCCGCCTCCCTTCCTGGCGGGCCTGCCGAGAGACCCCCTGCTCTTGCGCCTGGCAGGCTGCCCAGGCTGCGGGCTGCGGCCGGCCCCCCGGTAGGTGCTGCTGCCTCCGCCCCCTCCGCCCGCAGCCGCTAACTCGCGGCGTTGCTGTGTCCCGGGGTGTTAGAGACGGCACGTGCCGTCTGTCCTGCCCGTTGGCCAGCCTGGCGGCCGCGACCTCCACACACATCACGTGTGCCGGGGCCTTGTTCACATTCGTTGCAGGAGAAAACACGCATTAAAAACAAGATACTGGATTTCTTACAGTCACGAGTAAAAAATATCAAACATTTTAGAATCCGCAGTAGTACTGGTAAACTCAAAAATGGGCACGTCTCAGGCTCCAGCGAAAGGAAGAAGTAGTCACTCACTCCTCTCGGGGAGAGTCCCGGCAGCCCTGGGGACAGGCCAGCGGATGGAGCCTGTGCTGGGGCAGGGGCCGCCTCCCCAGGCCCGGAGGGCCCACCCTGACTGGCCGGCAGCCGCCAGAAGAGGCCTGCGGGGTCTGGGGAGCTGACAGGGCTGCTGCCGTCGGTCACTGGGTGGAGCGCCGGCGGCCGGCCGCGTGACCCTCTGCAGCCTGGCGTGTCTGCACCGAGGAGGCAGCCCTGTTCTCCATCGAGACAGACTGGTGGGTAAGAGAGACTTGGGACTCCTGCAGGGTAATCAGTGCAGCGGGACGTGGGAATGGCCTCGGGGCTTTGGGGAGTGGCCGCCCCAAGACTCCCGGGGCGGGGGGCCGCCCCAGGGTCGGTCCTGGACGCAGCAGCCGGCAGCGTCTGTTCGGGATGGAGCACCCCGGTCAGCCAGGACTGCCGGAGCGGCGCCTTCAACTTGAGGTGTGATGAGTGAGGCCGAGGGGCTGAGCTTTGCTGTTAGATGAATTCAGATACGCCCGTGCTGCCCGGTCCGGAGCCTGGCCCCGGAGGGGTGTGGGCGTTCTTTTCCTCACTCAGACCCGTCTCGCGTCCTGCCCCCCGCTGCGTCTCTGGGTCACATGCGTGTATCTGTGTGGGCCAGATGTGTGGTGGTGGAGAAGAGCCGATCAGCTGCAGACATGTTACGTGACAGTGCGTTTGCTTTGATTCTTCCTACTTAAGCTTTTTTGCCGTCACAGGCTTGACTGGCTGGCCCTTGAAATGACCTGGTTTTTGTGAGAAGAGACTGCCACGGGCCTGCCACAGTTAAACGCTCAGGTCAGGAGCGGGCAGACTCGGCCCGCCCCCTTAGTGCCCGGCCAGACGTGGCTTTTACGCCTGCGGCTGCCAGGGCAAGCACAGCAGGCCATGCCCAGAGCCCCCGCCATGTTGGGGGGCCTGCTCTGGGCCCGGGCTGTGCCGTCGGCCCAGCGTGTGGGACGGACCTGTCCCAGAGAGGCGAGAGTTGGGCACGCGCAGGAGACCCCAGAGCCCAGGGTGTGGAGGTCCGTCCGTTAGGGCAGCAGTTGGTTCGTCTCTGGGATGGCTGGAGGCATTTGTGGGACGCGGGCGGCGATTGGGTGGACGCAGAGTGTACCAGCGGGCAGTTTAGTTTGCCGCAGGGTCCACTGGCCGGAGCCGGTTCGTGTCGATACTGAGAGCGGGGCGTGGGGGCCGGGGGCTTTGGGGAACGGTGACCCTCGGCGCACCTGGGCCGGGGCTTGGCGCCGTGCTGGGCCCGTGCAGTGTCCGGTCAGGCTCGGCCCTCTGGCTGTGGGTCCTTTGATGATGCCCTTTGAATGGTCACCAAACTATCGATGCAAGTTCTTGAGCAGTCGGACAGGCCTGACTGTCCGGTAACGCCATCTCTTGGGGTCCCCGAGGCCGTGAGGGCGTCTCCACACACCGGGGCCTTGAGAGCCTGCGTGGGCACCTGCGCCGAGTCCCTCGTCCGGCCGCAGTGCAGAGCCGGGCTGCCGGGGGCGTTACCCGAGGTCCGGCCAGAGGCCGCGGTCAGCAGGATGCGCGTTGCGGCCGCGTCCGAGGCCATGGATTTTGGGAAAGGCCCGCAGCACGGTCGTCTCCGGGAACTCTTGACGGACGTCAGGTGGACAGAGACGGAGACGTTCGGAGGGCTCCGGGGCCGGCATCCTAGAAGGCCTTGGTCAGCTGAGGCTCCGCCCGGCTGTCAAGGTGGCCAGACCGGTCTCCCTGCCAGCCGGTCGCCAGAGCCGGTCTGCCGCGGCTGCTTCAGCTGGACGCGACCGCGCCCTCGCGCAGCTCCGGCCATCTCCCGCTGGGCCCAGGCTTCGCGCCTCGTCCCTCTGTCGCCCCTCGCTCTCCTGCGTCAGGGTGTGGCTGCGGCCCCCGTGGCCGCGCCGAGAGGTGCGCCCCTCGCAGAGGGTGGCCCCACGCGAGGGACAAGGCCGGAGGGCTGCCAGCACCCCGAGGGCGGGCGGGGGGCTGGACATGGGGCTCTCCAGTGAGCAGGACTCGCCGGCGGCCCAGCGCAGCAGCCTGGGAACAGGCCAGCGCCTCGGGGCTCGCAAACCTGAGTTAGCGGAGGGAGACAGAACGGCCCGCCTGCGCCTGGGCTTTGTCGCAGTAATAGAAGCACTGGCCAGCCCGGCCGCGGCGGGACCAGCGCCCCTGCGGTCTGGGCTTGGGGTGGCTTCGCCAGCACCTTCAGGCGCTGCAGCTCCTGGGCAGCTGCCAGCCCGTGGGGTCAGCTCGGCGTGGCGGGCCGCACCCCTGGTGCCGCGTGGGAGAAGAGGCGCCTCGGGTTTCCTCTGTCCTTTCTCAGACGTTCTTCGTGTGCCGCGCTGTGGGGCGCAGGAGCGCACAGGCGGGCCCAGGGCGTGCGCCTGTGGGGAGCGCCCCCGCCTGGGGCAGCGGTGGCCGGCACGGCTGCTGTGTGCGGCGGGGAGCCAGCAGGACAGGACAGAGTGCGGGCCGGCGGGAGGTGCCCGCAGCGTTTGCAGTCTTCTAAAAAAGAGTTATTTACACGCACAAGAACTGGGGTGCAGGCTGAGGGGACTCCCCAGAGACAGCAGGGAGCAGAACAGGCGGGTGGACAGAACCCCACTGCATCTGGAGTGGTGGGCAGGCAGAGGGGTCTGCCCCGCCCTGGGGTCACCCCCTGGCCTGGAATGCATCGAGTCTCCGGCTGCGGCCAGCTTCTCAGCGTGGACACTCAGGCCTGCGCCCCCGGGGGAGGCCCGGGAGCTGCACCGTTTGATCCGAGTGCGTGCGTGTCCGACCCGTCGGCCGTGCCTGTGCCCCTGTGGCCATGGTGGTGGTCACGCTACGCCGCCACAGCCCCCGGACAGGGCCGCCGCGGCCTCTCAGGCCCAGAGCCCCTGCGGGCCTGTAGCGGCGCCCGTGGTGGGAGCCTCTTCGGGTCCAGACGTGGCCAGGGAAAGTGTCAGGACTGGGGAATCTGAGCTTTTCTCAGATGAAACTCACGGCTCACACGTCAGCCTGTCCGTCTGAGAGGGGACCAGCTGGGACAGACCGTCTCGCCTGGTTCCTGCAGCCTTGTCGGGACCGGGGGTGGGGGTGGGGGGGGCTGTGCGGGCGGGGACTTGTCCGGCGGCGCGCCCTGAGCAGCTGTCTGCCCCCACCCACGCGGGGCGTCCGGGACACTGGCATCACCCCGCGAGCCCAGGCGGCCTCCTCATAGCGCCCCGGGCCGCTCCCAGAGGCCCCGTCGTCTCAGGAACGTCCAGCGTCGTCGCTGTGCGCGGCCGCCCGGCGGTCCGGGGTGGCCCCCTGCGTGAACCCCGGACTTGTCGCTGGCCGAGCCTCCCGCGCGGCCGCTGTGCAGCGCAGCGTCTGGGCCCCGGAGCCCCATCTCCCAGCCGGCGCCCGCCCTTGCGCCCTCTCCGGCCAGCGTCCGGCCTGTGGCACCTTTGGATTCTGAGAGCAGCGTATCACAGGCTGGCGCGGTGGCGCCCCTGACCGCCCGGGGTCCGGGTGCTTGTCTGTGGTGCTGCCCTCAGGCCCGGTTGCACCTCGCCCGCTCGGGACCGCAGGGCAGGGTCTCGCTCGCCTGTCTGCTCCCCAGCTGGCGCCGCGGTTCCCTCGCGCGGGGCTGGCCCGCGGCCTGCTGCGATGTCAGGCTGTGGCCTGCTGCGGGTGGGCGAGCAGGGGGCTGGACGGCCTGGCCCGCAGGGGCCCGCAGGCTCAGCTCCGCCTCTTCACCCCTCCAGGCCTACGAGCGGAGGTTCCCTACCTGCCCCCTGATCCCCATGTTTGTGGACAGCGACACCGTGAGCGAGTTCAAGAGTGAGGACGGGGCCATCCACGTCATAGAGCGGCGCTGCAAGCTGGACATCGACGCCCCGCGGCTGCTG